ATATTATATTCCATTAAAAAACAAATCAGAAAAGGTGGAAAAATACCTTCTCTGCTGTCTGAAAATACTGCTTCACAAGGTCTTCCACCCTCAGTGTCATCCCCTCAGGAGTAGGTCTGCTCATGAGCTTTCCAAAATTAAGATCATTGTCTAGAATAGAAAAGCACAGTGGCACTGTCACCCACACCTGCAACTTTTAACTATTATCATCGCACTGACAGGAATAGGAAAAAAGATTAATATAGGCCTCAAGAACTGTGGTCCCTTTTATATGCCAAGGATTTATGTAGAGTCTATTTGGAAACACAGGTGAACATAACTGATGCAATAATTGTACAAGACAACTCTACCCCTAGCAAATACAAAGTGTTCTTCTAACAACCAAATGTCTGGAATTACAAATTTAACACCATGTCCTGAAGGTTATTATAACTGGACTCTAGAAGTTCACAAATGGAAGAAAATCAAAGGACCCATAAAAGCACAAGGTGTTTTTCATACCCGACTGTTACTAGGGAAGAAGTTTTCCTCCAAAGCACACCAAATGAGTTTTAGTGCAAAATGCTCATAACTCATTAAGGCTGTGCCCCATTCAAGGGCAGCAAGGCAGGAATGACAGAAAATAAAAGGGTAATCAAGTGAGATTACCACAAACCACACAAAGTAATATAAAGTGATTACAGATTGCTGCCAGACATCTGCCACACACAAACACTAAACATTACTTTGTTACATAAGCAGCTACAACAAAAAGCAGCTTGATGAGAAGCTCAACATGACCCAGCAGTGTGCACTCACATCCCAGAAATCAACTGTGTCCTGGCTGCATCAAAAGAACCGTGACCAGCAGGTCGAAGGAAGTGGTCCTGCCCCTCTCCTCTGCTCTCATGAGACCCCACCTGCTGTGCTGCCTTCAGCTCTGAGGCCCCCAACATAAGGGAGGACATGAAGCTGTCGGAGTGAGTCTAGAGGAGGCCACAAAGATGATCAGAGGGCTGGAGCACCTCGGCTATGAAGACAGGCTTAAAGAGCTGGGCTTATTCAGCCTGGAGAAGAGAAGGCTCCAGGGAGAGAACTTTAGAGCAGCTTCGAGTGCCTAAAGGGGCCTACAAGAAAACTTGAGAAGGGCTTTTGACAAGGGCATGCAGGGACAGGACAAGGGGGAACGGCTTTAAACTGAAAGGGGGGTGGATTTAGATTAGATATTAGATTAAAGGAAGTTCTTCCCTGTGAGGGTGCTGAGGCGCTGCCATAGGGTGCCCAGAGAAGCTGTGGCTGCCCCATCCCTGGCAGTGTTCAAGGACAGGTTGGACACAGGGGCTTGGAGCAACTTGCTCTAGTGGAAGGTGTCCCTGCCCATGGCAGGGGGTTGGAACAAGATGATCTTTAAGGTCCTTTCCACCCAAAACCATTCTGTGATTCTAAAAGGAACAGTAACAACTTCTGAACTCACAAATTCTTAAACATCACCTGTACTGAACCACAGCATTATGCACACATGGACTGAAAATTCTGACTGCTGTATTAGCCACCTCTCTTGTAGCAGAGGGTAACAAAGCAATGCAAGAACCACGGTAATGTTTTTACATTCCCTTCCTGAAGCCAAGATGCACATTCAGTAGGAAAGTTAAAATGCCTTGATGAAATGTGGTGACAGCAGTAGCTATCTTGTATCCTGAAATGTCAATGAGATCACAGAACTACGAAAAAAAACCCCAAACCCGAAAGCAAAGCAAAATAGAATCGATGAAGCACAATTTAAAAAAAAAAAAAAAAAAAATCAAATAAAAATCACTAAAAGCATTTTTTATTCATGAAACGTTTTGAACTCCATAAAACTGACAGCGTACGTAAAAAGTGTCAGTGGAATTGGAGTACTTACAATGCACTAATGTGAAATATTAACAGTTCTTTAGCACAGTCTGTTCTTGTGCAAGCTGCATCTTCATTAGCAACTATCACAAATCCAGTATTTGGGCAACATCTATTATCCATTTATGAAAACTTCTAGGCACAGTAAGAAAGCTGCAACAGTAACAGCTATTATTTGTTTTGCACAAATGCTTGAATAGAGCCATACCTGGAACAGACAAGCCAAGAGCACCTCATACACATGATTGAATAGGGCAGACAAAATGCTGTCCTACATTCAGACTTTTTTTTGGATATACAAACATCTCTCAAGCCCATCCTCTCCATGACTATTTTAGGCACAAAGAAATTAATTACTGCAGCAACAAAATAAAAAACAAAAGGGGAAAAGCACAACACTCCTTTCTCTTCCTGCAGTGTCCAAATCCACCAATCCTCATTCTGAGAGGTCTCAGGAGTGAGATGTTTAATGCCTTCCATGGTAATTACCATAGAATCATGGAGTAAGTCAGTCTGGCACAGGGCTACGTGTGTTACCATAAGCAATTATTTATGAATAACTGTCAGAAGATGCTGTGCTACATACCAGAATTTTAGACAAACCCAGAAATAGAGCAGAAATACTTGTGCGATATATACTCTGCATCTTTACTCCTCTTATAACACACTAGACGGTAGACACCAAGCCTTTGCAAGTGCTGTGTAATAAAATAAAGTAAGAATGAAAACCTAAGCAAGCCAATGATTCCTTCCTTTATAATTACCATTTTTCTCTTTCTGTTCACGACGCCTGAAGAAGTGTATGATGTCTTTTGGGTTAGCCACCCTATCCATGTACTTCTGGCTAAAACGATGGACACTGAATGGTTCAAAGCCACCTGCATAATCAACCTAAGAGAGAAAAGGAAAAATTCAGATATGAAATAAACAGAAATAGAGAAGCCACACAGGTGACCTTGGCCATGATCAGGAGGTTGGAACTATATGATCATTAAAGTCCTTTCCAACACAAACCATTCTATCACTGTATGAAGATGGGTTTGTTACCCTTCAAAGGAAAAGTTAAAAATAAGCCAATCTAAAATTAATGCTTTACCATCCTATGCAGAATAGTTAATGGATAATTATTATTATTATAATAATACAGCTTCATTTAGTAGTCTGCAGGAAAGCTTCCATAAATTAGACCAGCAGCCTAATAGCCTAATGCTCAGACAAGCACTGACATGTGCTTATAACCAATCTCATCCTTTACTATGGAATACTCGTTATACCACAGGTAGATGGAATCATGGTATGAAGGTGATTTATATTTGCCTGTACACAGTAAGACATTTTCTATATTATGTGTTTATATAAAAGCATGACTTTGCTTTGAAGCTCAGTGACCATTCAAACCAAAGCAATCCAAAGTGAACAATTCCTTACGCGTAACCGTATAAGAGGCTTCCCTGGCTGGCGTGGATTGCCCAGGCGCTCTCGTTCTGCATTGTCCAGCATCATCTCAACCTGTGAAACAGAATTAGAACTTCAGTTCCACTTTGTTCTCTTACAGATGTATGAATCCTTCAAACACAGCTTAAAGTACAGCCACAGCTGCAGGGAGGAGCTATAAAAATAAAGAGCTATAGGATGTGCTCTCACTCCTGAACAATACACAGCTGGATCCAACCAAAATCCATAAGAAAGAATGAGTCACAATAAAAACTTATTTTTCAGCTATAGTGTAGTCCAGCAGTACCTACATCACTGACCACTCAGTATATTACTTTACAGCCATTATGCTTTGCTAAATTTCTAGTTCCAGGAAAAAAAAAAAAGCAGGAAGACACTTATACCTAAGAACCAATAGCAATTAATATACCTGCTTAGTTACTTCTCAGTTACAGCCCAGCTCCCAGGGTTTACGTGTATGTATTTACGCTGGTTCCAAAGCGCACATCCAACAGTGCCCCACTCTTAGGTGGGAGTTTTCATACGAAGATAATATGGACCCCCATAAAGCAGTTACAGCCTATTTCGGTAAGTCATCCTAGCCAAGGAATATGGAAGTCAAGGCTGCAGTGAATGGCATGGAATCAGCTTCCTAAGAAAACAGTGCCAAAGTTCTTTTCAAGTAATATGGAGAAAGACACAAGATTCCTCATCTTTGTCTCAAAGCCAGTCACAGATTCTATTCTCTATCCATACATACACTGTTATCCCATACACTATTAGCATTACAAGTTACCTTTTCCATGCAGAATGCTTGTATTGCCTGAGTTACTTTAGGATTGTCAGGATTAAAGAGATCGGGATGATCAGCTAGAACAATATCCTCCATGTAGAAAGTTCGCACTGTCTCCAGAGCAATCTTCTGCATTTTCATTTTTTTCCCTCTAACATGCAGCAAGCCAATGTGTCTAGAAGGAGAAAGGAAGGAGAAAAGTAACTTACTACAAGATAAACTTCAGCGACCTATGGATTAAAAATCTAGTTCCAATTCATGTTTACTTTTCAGGGACAAAAGTTTAAAAGTTATAGGAAATTCCTGAATATGTACTTCAGGGTTGGCCCTGCCAAACTTCAGTTCTATTATTTTTAAATTGTCCTTGTTCCATACACAGCACATGAACACAGTTCCTCGTATGCCAATTTATCAGGGTACAAACTCCTCAAGTAAGTTCCATTTGCTTCAGATGTTAGGCTTAACCCTAAGTAAAGCAAAAGTTATTCTAGGCACCGATTTTACCTACTTGTTATGTCACACTCTGAAGCTAATCCACACTCTAACATAAGTCCTTTCATACTTAATAAAAGTATTTTTCCTTTTTCAAACACAACATATGACAGACATAAGGCAAAGGATAAATAAGAACAAGAAACCATCACACACTTCTTCACAGCTTCTCCAGGGGACAGAGATGTCACCACCGAACTTCCTGGCTGAGAAACATAGAAATGTTGCTGTTCATTTTGGCATGGGGCTATTTTGCACTCATGTTCATGACCCCACACAACAAGATCGATAAAGTCATCTAAAAATTGCTCTGGGATGTAGTTGGTAGCTCCATGTTTGCTCCTGTTCAAAAGAGAAAAATAATTAGAATGTGCACAGTTACGGGTGAGCAAGGGGGGAGTGAAAGTGAAGGAGGAGACAAACTCAGGGAGATTTAAAGTGATACAGAAACTCCAGCAAAAATACCTGAAGTACACATCAAGTCAGCTACTCTTCACATTTATTCCTTACACAATTGTTTGAAGTGTTTAGTTAAACTTACAGAGCTCATTCTTTTCTGCTCCCTTTTATTCAGATCTCCCTTTTTTTTTTTTTTACTTGACTTGCGAGAATTCAGGTGGTTTTTTTCCCTATGAATGCTTTTATAGCACCTCATGGCTTTAATAGTGGGGTAAAACCCACCAAATTAAACAGATAGGGACACACCACCCCCCATCCCCTTCCAGAAGGCACAGGAGATGGAGGAGTAGTGAGCTCCTTTAGCCTACTGAACAGAGATCAGTACTCAGGGTTATCTGAGCTGTACTTGTTTACTCCTGCCTCCCCGTTACTCTCCCATGAGGACTGCACTCCTTCAGGAAAAACTGTAAGAATGGATTTGGAAAATAACTCTCCCTGTTCCTACTACCACTGCTGGAAGTGCGTGGGCAGAAAGAGCACATGCCACCTACCCTGGATTCAAGCTGTACAGTCTAGTAGTGTAAGGGAAGATAGGGTACTCCTCAAATCATGGTTCAAACAAGGATAAAAAATACAATATGAAGTTTAATGCTCTCGGCTCTAAGAGAAGACTTCATTATATACATATTACACTACAAAACCTCCACTGCCCCTAGCTATATGAGTTTGGGAAGAGATTTCCCAACATTCTTAACTCATTTATTTCAACACTTTTCCTTTACGATCCTTCTGTAAAAAAAGAGCTGTAAAACAATGCTTTCATTTGGGAAAATCCTGAGAAGCCAGCTACTCACATGAAGCACCAACTAGTACAGCTGGCTTCCTTACCTATCCTTTTTAAGGCAGCTTAATGAAGTAGCACAGTAAGTTCAGAAGTCACCCTAATTCATTCAATACTGTTACCTATTTTGATGAATCACAAACAAGTTAAACCAACTATCTTCATCTTCCTTTGGTCTCAGCATGGTTACTTGTTTATTAACAAACATACGATACAACCTCTCATCTGGAATAGCTCCTGGAGTGGACAAAACAAAATACTAAATCATCTTTGTGTGGTAAACTAACTATTTGATAGCATTTTTATTAGCAGCTCGATTAAAAAGAGCATAAAGAACACAACTTTGTGTTAAAATCAGATCTTCATTCTCATGACCATGAGTCTAATTATGAATCTAAACAGATCAAAGTATAATTTGGCTATTTTACCAGACAGACTTCTAAACATAAGACATTTTAACATAAAATCTACTTTTGAACAACTGCTAAAAGCAGTTTCATTACCTGCATCCGGTTTGAGACCTCTTGTCAGTATTCTGTGCTAAACAACTGACTACAGACAGAATAAAAATCATACAAGAGGTGTTTTGTTTCTTGTTGACAGAGTAAAAAGTATACTTGGTTGTAAAGTGGAGTCTAAAACCAGATAATACTGAGCAGAGATAGACTTCTTAAATATCCTTCGAAATTCTCTGCCAAACAAGTCATAACTATGCGGAGTCTGTGCTTTCCCCACACAGCAGTACTTCTGAACTGTTTGTGACTGATTATTTCCTTGATGTTTTTAACAAAAAAAAACCCCAAACAAATAAATCATCCATACCCAGGGTTAATGATGTATCTCAATAAAATACCATATAGAGTTTACATATGTTGTATGAGAACAAATGCCCTCTAAACCAGAGAAAGTCAAGAGGTTATATAATCCTTGCACGAACTCAAAGAAACATCCCATGAACATTTTCATGCAGCAACACCTGTGCTTTAGAAATCTGCTGCATTTCCCAGTAATGATTTTAGGTACTAAAATGCTTTTGAAAACCTTTATATTTTGGTATTAGCACCCTCACTAGTAACCCTTAGAACATCCAGCAAACTTTTAGAGTATCTCATTAAACACATGAAATCATGGTTAACTAGGACTTAATGTTTATAGCTATAAAAGTTACTTGGAAATAGGAATGTCAGCACTAAACATAAAATAAGAGGAAAAAATAAGATCTTAACAGTTAACTTCTCTAGACAGCAAGCAGTCAAGCATGACCATTCAAGTTAAGAATTGAGGGTAGAGGTGAAGGTGGAGAAGAAAATGGAAAGGAACAAACTGAAGTTGAAAACCACCATAGAACATCGTTAAAATAAGAAACTCTTCATATGTTTCTTTGAAGAAACCGAGGTTATCTGTGACAGAATGACTTATACACCACTTCAGACAGACCTTAGGTTTCTGCTCAGTTTCTGTTTTTAAACGTGACCAAAACGGCAGGTGAACACACAGTGCTTAAGTTTTACTTAAGCAGGAGGAAGTAAGATTAACATACAACAGTGAGAACAGCAAGGTTAACATACAACAGAAGTGTGATTGCCCTGACTCAGTACATGGGCACTATCTCTGGCTAACTTAAGCAGGGTTCACTTAAGACCAATAGAAGTATAGAAAGTATAGAAGTTACTGAAGGATTTATTTTAAATTCTTGAAACAAAAACAAAACACCAATGACAAACACAAATTAAAAAAAAACCCTGTCAACCAGTGCCAATGCAGCAGGAGGAGAAACTTGAACTGTCACAGAGCTGATATGCTTTCATTTAGCATTTCATAAGCCAACATCTTCATGCTTGTTGCAGTGCTATATATGTTTTTTCCAACCTAATTTAGACCTACTGAACTCCAGTAATATATAAACAGTCTGGCCACAGTCTGGCAGGCTGATACTTACCCAAGCCATACAGAGCAATTTTTGTTCTACCCTTACGCAGCAAAATGGGACTAATATCTATTTTCTCCATGGAAATTGAACGTCCAAAGTGATTCAGCAATCCTGCACAGCTTAAAACATCCAATGCACACAGTGCATCTGCCTGCAGAAAATATCAAGAAACAATACAAAAGCTTCGAACAGAACATTTAGTCTTCAAAGTCTAAGTGAAGCAGTATCAAAAGGGAGAATATCTTTTCTTAAGCAACTTCTGAAAACCCCACCATATATATTAGCTTTTTTTTTTTTCTAGTAGTCACAGATGGAGAGGCAAATCCCTTTGCCTTAAAAGTCTCACTTCGTTTGAACAATGTGAAATTAAACATTAAATCATTCAGAAAAAACAAAACCAAAAAAACCCACCCAAACTACTAAAGGCTCTAAACTACTACAGAAAAATATCTGGTTAAGCCAACTACTTCATAGTAGGTCCAAAGTTAAACTTATGCTGTTAAAACATATATCCCCATGACACAATGCTATTGACATAAAATGCAAAATTATTAACTCAACACACGTACTTTGCTGCTTTCTAAATGCCCTTTTCATCCTTACATTTAGTTGTTGATTTTAAATGAACATTTCATCATTATCACATTATCTTCCTTGAAAATATAAGATGCCCATCATTGCACAAGTCAAAGTATCAAAATTCCCCTTCTTTAAGAAAAAAAAGCTTTAGGTCTCTACAGAGAAAATTTGGTTTAGAAACTTTCTGAAAGGCTGTAATTTCTTGGCATGAAAAGCAATTCTGTTCTCAGTGACAGAAACCTACACAAAATAAGAATTTAAACATAGTAGAATCCCAGACTGGTTTGGGTTGGAAGGGACCTTAAAGATCATCCAGTTCCAACACCCTGCCATGGGCAGGGACACCTTCCACTAGAGCAGGTTGCTCCAAGCCCCTGTGTCCAACCTGGCCTTGAACACTGCCAGGGATGGAATTCATATGGTTCCCTTAACCTCATACGTGACTTCTTGTCACTAATTAACAGAATTTCTAAAGACATTCACAGTATTTATCTGAAGAGTGGAGCAAATGATTAAAACCAGGTGGTTCTCCAAGAACTGTGGTTTTACACATCTCTATTTCTATAGTATTTTGTAATATAACAATAGAGTACAATTATGATAATAATTACCCCTGTGGGATCATCATGGTTGCCATGAATACTAAACACTGGAATAGAAATGTTGAGATTTTCATCCTGATAATTCACCCATGGAAACCTGCACAAGGAAAAAAAAAAAGAAAAAAAAGTTAAATTGCAAATTTGGGGACAGCTCCCAATATTTTCTTCAAATGGATGTCATCACAAATACATCACAACACCAGCACAAACGAGCACTAAGTGGCTATGAATAAGCTTCAGCTGCACAGCTTAAGAACATTCTTCCTCATGGCCTGGAACAGCACTTCCCACTGGGAACAGGGTAATAAAAGATGCTATTTTTTTAGAACAAGCCTGTGAAAAGAATTGTACAGCATGCTGTGTGGTACGTGCAAGAGAAGCGGACTGGGCTGCGCAACCGGTGTTTACACACAAAGAACTGCTGATTTAACCACAGCGATTCATGGAAATCGGTTTCCTTGCACTGCACTTGCAGGATGGAAATGATACATTACATAAATGGATCGAATGTCACAACACCCTCACAGGTTTCTCAAAAAATGGTGTCTGCTCTTTTATAGACTTAAAGACGACGACAGGTGAAGTCATCCTGTGCCCTGTTCCAAACAAACAGGCCTAAAATGTAACGGATGATAGAAACCACAAAAATCACGACATGCTCATGAAGGATGCAAACCAAATCTTACAAAGTTTACAAAAGATACTTACTTGCTATTATGAAAATTAACTGCTTGGTCACTCAGAATTTCAAACTGAACAGGATGATCCCCCATGCAGTATTTTCTCAGTGACTCCAAACAAGTGTGTATTGTTTTCCTGGAAGGTTTGTTGTCATGGAAAAGGTCCCCACCTAATAAAACAAAGTCCACCTGTATGTAACAAAAAGCTTTATTATTTTAATACAACATTTTGTATTGCCTTGAAAGACTTCTAAACAAGTAGTTTAAATAATTCTGTCTAAGGAGTTCCATGTATCTCCTCGTATCTGGATTTTTAGGTAGGACAAGGTGGTTGCAGACATGGTATTTAATTTCCTCATGAAACACAAATTAAATTAAATTATTCATTATAACAAAACAAAACCCAAAGAGACCCATTTATGAAGAGCTACAGGAGAAAACAGCCGACAGTTGGCTCCTGAACATTTGCTTTGACAGGCATGAAGAGATACATTATCTTTTTATTGCTGTGGTACCTAGTGGGAAGAAATCAGTAGCTAATGCTACATTACTTTGAGAACATACTAGTTGCAGTGACCTTATACATATTTAGCTTTTGAAAAAGCATTAGAAAACGAACAAATAAAACCCATTGTCATTAAAATTACAAATAATTTAAGTAAGAAACACTGAATCCTTAAAAACAGAACCATAGAATCATTTAGGTTGGAAAGACCTTTAAGATCATGAAGTCCACCCCTAAGGGCCCCATCTACATCTGTCTTTTAAATACCTCCAGGGATGGTGACTCAACCACTTCCTGGGCAGCCTATTCCCATGCTTGACAACCCTTTCAGTCAAGAAATTCTTCCTAATATCTAACCTAAACCCCCACTGGTGCAAATTGAGATCATTTCCTCTTGTCCTATCATTTGTTACATGCAAGAAGAGACTGACACCTCAACTACAACCTCCTTTCAGCTACTTGTAGAGAGCGGTAAGGTCTCCCCGAAGCCTTTTCTCCAGTTCCCTAAGAACTGGGTCCAGTCAGCACACTGGGCCTTCTGTTCCTGTCAGGAGGGAGTCTCCTATGACAACGACCGATCTTTTTTTCCTTATGGAAGCAGTTCTGATGCAGGGTGGAAGCTGGCTTAACCTCGGTGACACCTCCAAGCCAGATGAACCATCATCCTCACTACTGTTGGGTTCCACTTGCAAAGCCTCACACCTATTGTGGAAGAGCACCCAGGAAGGTGGGGTAGGCACAAGAGATGCACTGCCTGTGCCAGGCAGGAACATGTTGCTATTGCCCCTATTCCTTAAGTGACTGCGTTCAGCCAGGAGGAGAGAGGACAGGGAATCCTCCATGTCTTGTGTCCTGTCTGCTTATCGGGCCTGTTTCAGGGCAGGCAGGGTGTGATTCCAGCAGTCTGTCTCTCTCTCACACTCCCTGATTGTGGGAGACAATGGAAACTAAGTGGTTATTGCCAAAGAGAAGTAACTGCTTGGCTGGAGAAGAAAAAAAGTACAATCAAGCAGAGCAACCCAGCTGGCTGAGGAGGAGAGAGCATAAAGATAAGAGACTGGCTATTCTGGGACTGGTTGTGAGAAAGCGAGCAGTGTTAACAAACAAACTATAAGTCAGGAACTAAACATGATAGGCTACAAATAGAATGGTGTAACAGCTAGAGCAATCGGCTAAAAATAACTGTTGTTAGAATGGTAGAAAAAGTTAGAGCAGTAGGCAATAAAGGGATTCACTGCATGAAGATGCAGTCCGTGCCATGAATCCCCTCATCTGATACTCCTCACACTACTCAGCTCCTCCCAGAGGTCCGTCCCTAAGCAGAGGGGGTCCTCTACATGGGCACACCTCCCACAGCTCTGCTCACTGCTGCCATCCTGCACTGGCACAAAAGCAGGGCACAGCCTACAGTCTGTGTGGCAGCATGTTCCCACCAGAGCTCTGTCTATGCAGCTGCATCAGTCATGGTGCGTGCAGAGCTTGGAGAGTCCATGGCTTTCTGCTGGGTGGACACCATCTCCCCCTGGTCAAGCTGCAGAGCTTCAGCCCCTTCCTGCGTGAACTGACACACAAGTGCTGCATCACACCCAGTTTGCCTGCCCTGCTGGTGGTACTCCTGGTCGCTGGCATTCCCCAGGGCAATCTGAAAACACCGTTCATGCAATCAGGGTCACAATTCATTAAGAAAGCTCTCACAGAGGAACAGGCATTCCTTTTACTACAGCAGAAACGTAACTGGTTGCAATCAACAGCGAATTGAATTAGCAAACTATTGTTAAAGATCACAGACCAGGACGAAGCTTTATAGCTTCTGGCAGGTTGGAACGTGCTTTCCACTGTCTGTCAAAGCAGTACTCACTTCATTTTTTTGAGCATGGTCCAGAATTTCATTAAAAGTCACAAACGTGTCATTTCCACGCACTGGGTCCTTCTCCATATAGCCAAGATGAATATCAGTAGCAATAAGTATTCTAAATGTATCTTCATCATCCCTGAGCAAGATAGGAAAATTTGTGTTAGAAAGCAATATACTTATGACTTTCAACCCAGACTCTTACTAAGGGAAGTTGTTCTGTCCAAAGTCATTAAATACACAGATTTTTGATAAAACTCTATCAAAATAGCAGTCCTGTAATATTCTCAAACCATTGGACTACTTTCATTGCTAACAGCACTTCACCAAACCAACCAGATTCAGTTATCCCAATCAGCCCACTCTACTAAAGGGCTGCAAACACCTCTCTGAAGTATCTAACAAAAGCCTATGGAAGCCTTTGCATGTTTTCTGCCCTTAAAAAAACTTGGTGAACAAACATTCCGTTTCTCTCTTTGCACTAGCAATCTATGCTTACATGAAAGCAAGTATGATGATCCTAAGGACCGGGATGAAAACATAAATCTCATTCCAAATATACAGAAGACTTGTTATTTCATATGACAGAGCTGCATCAACAGGAGCTTACTGTGAGTTGATGGCACTCATCTTCGTGCCAAGACTCTTCACAAAAGGGCTCTGGACACTGCTTAGTAAGTCAGGTCAGGAAGCAAGCTTCTATCTTCATAGATGCTACAAACAGCCTAAGAGACAAAAAGAAAGGGCATGATGAGCTGAGCGATACGTTTCCCAGTCTTTGACTGGGAACTGCCG